AGCTGTATGATTTCATAACACAGGGCACATCTACCACTAAAAATGTCTAGCTACTGCACAGCTTTCAGGAAGAAAAGGGTTTAGTCACTCTGGTCACAATAAATAGAAATACAGGACCTAAACAAAAAGGTTAGACTCTGACTACTAATACTACTAATCTCTAGAGCTCTCCTTAATCCCCTGAGCTATCCAAACAACATTGATAAAAGCAATCATCATACTAAAAACTACATCAAAGAACGGGTTAGCTGTAGTCTGCTGTTATTTTTGACTACAAGTTTCCAGTAACACAGAGGAAAACATATTAAATGACTCGATGAAATAAAGTTATCGAGATTAATTTGTAATTTCTCCTCTTGGCACTGGCCTTGTTGCTAAACATCTATGTGCAATGCTGTGCTTATATGTAACAAAAATTACTCTCCTTTTTGTTTGTTTGTTTGTTTGTTTGGGGGTTTTTTGTTTGTTTTTGTTTTTGTTTCAGAAGAAATTGCTTCATAGATTAGAGGGACAGTTTTAAAACACAGTATCAGCTCTCATAACCTGGCAACTATCAAGGGACAAAACCAGAGGCATTTTTTTCTCATTCAGTTCCCAAGAACAGCGTCTATGCAGCGAGGAGCACAGCAGTGGGGGTTCAGCAGATCGGTGCAGCAGAGCCATAACCATTTAATCTGCAGATCCTGGATTCAAACACCAGAACACTTACCGTGAGCAGAAACCAGAGACTCTCCCTAGTGAAACAGTCCTTCTGCTTGGGGTTTTGTGACACAAATTGTCTCATGGAAGTTAGAAGACAAAATAAAATTCAGCATTTTTGCATATAGATAGTTTAAATCTATGTTCCACCTCTTATGGTGTTATCTAGTGAATAAGTGTGATCTGAATTGGTTAGCAAAACATTAAGCTAGCTTAGTTTATTTTTATGTTTATTTTCTTTTTTTAATTCACAAAGTAGGATCCTCAAATATAGTTTTTCAACAGACATATGTGTCTCCTCAACTGGGCTGATATCAAGACATTAAAAAAAAATAGATACAAATATGGGGATAATCTCTTTGGGGAAAGCATATAAATAAATCCAGACTTTAAAGTAATGATCCAAATTGCTATTAATTAAAAACTACATAGAAGACAATGGCATTCATGGAAAAGCTATACACAAAAAGTTGAGCAATTAGCTTGCTGTAGGTCCAGTTACACAGCAGCTTTATGAATGGACCAACAATTATTTTACCAAGAGTTCAGAATGAACTATTTCAGAGTTTTTTTTTCCTTTTTCACATCCCATAAAGGTTTTCTTTAGACAAAAGTCAGCAAAATAGCTACATGGCTCTCAGTTCATTAACTACCCACTCAGCACTTTCCAAAAGGCATGCATAAGTTAACAAAAATTCTATGGAAATTGGTATTTCAGAGCTCTGCCCTGTCCTCACTGATTTTATTAAATGAAGTGCACTTCCATTTTTCTTATGCTCACAACACTTCTGTCCATTAATCCATTTAGAACTGTGTCTAAACTCTTTGATTAATGATTCAAAACATTACTTAGTGAAAGCAGAAATAGATACTATGATTACAATCAGGTTCTTAACTTCATGTTCTTTATCTAGTTCTTAGTGCAGGCATAATTTATCAGACTGTAAAGATAAAAAAATCCAAAGTCTACATTGTCCCACACTTCCAAAGCCTTAGTATCTTAATGGGTGAAAGTTTTTGGTTTGTTTTTCCTATGTGTGGCAAAAAAACAAAAAAATTCTTTTGAGATGGGTACGGGGTGAGAAAGTCTTTGTACTGTCAAAGCCAGCTTAATGAGATGAACCATTTAAGTTACTACTATGATTTCCCAAGAAGTTACCTGCAAAAGGAGCAAGGGAAACTTCACATTGTGTTCCTCAGAACCAAAAAGAGAAACTGAATGTATTGTACCAGATGCTTTCTTCCCTACCTTATTTCTGATTTACAGCTTCACTCGTCTATAATGAAAGGAAAAAAAAAGAGATGTCTGAAGTTGCCTGCATTCACTGACTATCCAACTGAAAGAATAAAATTTCAGACTGTGCAGCCCTATCCCTTCCACTTCATCTTTCTCAGAAGAGGTACTGGAAAGTCATGACTACTTAAGATCTGCAGGCTTTCAGAGAATTGAAAACAAACTGCTAGAGAGGAGAGGAGTTGAGTGTGACTAGGACAAAAAAAAAAAAAAAAAACAAAACCAAAACAAAACCACCAAACCGAAACAACAAAAAAACAGCAACAGGACTTATACTTATCTTTTTCACATTTCAACATCTTCACTATATATTCAAAGCGAATTTTAATAAAAAACAGTACAAATTTAATATTCCCTTGGACTAACTTCTCATGTGTTTCCAATTAAAAGACACAGTTGAAAGCAGCAGCTTTTACAGGCAGCCTCCATAAACTCATATAATTGCTATTGAATGATTTTCCTAGTGATCACCAGATTAAAAAAAGTAATTAAATCTTTATTTCCTTCCTCAAAACATTCCTTCCCTCCCTTCACCCCACTCTCCTGCATAAAAAGATGATGGGCCAGTTGCTATAGTGCTGCTCCGTAGATGAAAGCAAGAGGTCCAGTTCCCTCCCCTGCCTGCGCGACCTGGAGCCATGCAGCGCCATCACGGCTGTGCCCCTGCCTTCCAGTGGCACCAAATTCATTTTGGAGGCTCAACCGTGCAGGAATGTGGCCTGAGGAAGCAGCCGAGGCAGTGAGCTGCACCGGCTTCTCATGACTACTGCCCTGGGCTGCTACTTGACGGTAATCAGCAAAGGACAGGGTGAGGAAATACGTAGTTTTAACTTTTTCCCTTTAGAACTGTTTCATCAAGAGTTAACTTCTGGGGGAATAAAAGGTCTCCCTCTGAGGGCCTGTGAGAAGATGGGCTTAGTCATTGCCCCCTTTTATCTCCAAACCAAATAAAGCTATGGAGGAGAGAAAGAGATGGGGAGAAAAGACAGAAACTCCCTCTCCTTGAAACCAGCAATGCGGGGGCTGAGGTCAGATACTGCACTGGTCTTGGTTAAAGTGCTCTGCCTGATCAGGTTGCCTGAAGCACTGGGGGAAGACGGAGGCAGTTTCAGCTGCCTCTTCAGGAAAATCACATAAACATGGCCCGTTTCATATTATCTATCACCAAGGACATTGAATAAAAAGACTAAAGAGAAGGGAAACAATTAAAGTTAGAATGAGGTAGGATTAAATTTTAATTACCAATACTGTGGAACAGATACTATGAATCTTGAATTTTTCTCAAAATTCTAAAACAAAACCAAGAGAATAATGCAAGTAAAAAAAAAAAATCATTTTAGAGCAGAATTCTGTTCTTTTCCACTAATCAACAACTAAGACTTCTTGTTGCTAAGGTGGAATTAAAAAACAAAAAAAAGGTAATTAATTTACTGGCTCATATTACCTAGCCCAATCTCCAGGAATAATCAAACATATGAAATATTTTGATAGTAGTTTTCACTCAATATAAGAGAAAAAAATCTGGATTTCAAATGCATTATTCACACTTTACCAAAATGCTTTACAGATAAACACCATATCTAATAGTGTACTGGTATTTAGACTGTATACCAGAATCTATAGCGCTATCAGTAATCCAGGGTGGCCACTGACCAATGGAACTGGTCTAAAACATGGTGTTCTGAAATCTTTCCAGACAGCTGACATCATGCCAAACATCTGCCCAGTAGGTATATATAAGTGAACCGATGGGAAACTGAGATCGTTTTGAGATGACAATTCAGGATACTTGTGTTTAAAATTTCCCTAGCCAGAGAATGGTAAAAGAACATAAAAACAGACACACACAAACAAAAATGGAAGAACTTCAACCATGAATTCACATGGAAGATGTTTCATGTTACTCAGTTACATGAAGCTAACATTTTGTTTGTTGCACTACTAATAAAAAAACCCTAATAATTGCAAATAGTTGTAGTTTGTATTTTTTTTTTTTTTTTTTTTTAATAAAAGCTGACAGCTTAGAATGACGAGAATCAAAACAGACTGTATGCCAAAACTTGCCTTTCCTACTGCCTGGACACTTTACAGATTTCTGCTCTTTAATGTTTCAGCACTGAGCCATTCAAAATTGGCAATTACAGCAATTATCAGGAAAAAAACATAGAAGGAAAAGCATAAAACAGAATAAAAACATGTCAAATTTACACTCCCTTTCGCTCCTAGAATGGACATGCCTATGTTGTCACATTTTCTGTTGGTATACTACTTTGTGACCTGTGTTCAGCTTTTCCTAAATGACATCACAGCACAAGGATTCAAAGCCTTGCAAAAAGTATGACAAGATGAGGTGGAAAAAGCCTCAGGATACTGCCACAAGAAACATCTTAGCCACTCAAACTCCTAAACAATTCCTCATTTAACAATCCTTGTCATGCAATTTCAATCTATTTATTTTTCACGTGTATTTTAAATAAGGATTTTTTTGCAGTTGACATCAACTTCTGAGGTAATACTGTAAATAATATTACAATACTGTAAACGTGTTGCAAATCTTACAGCACGTGTCCTGACAAATTTCTTCCAAGACATTCCTTAATGTCTAGTCTTTATTATATGCAGAAAAAACCTCAGTATTATTTCTTGACAGCCAAAGTAGACCGAGCTAAAGGTAAAAGTATAATGGTATTCTCTTGTACAAACTTAAAGAAAATAGTTAATTTTCTTTATTGCAAAATTATTAGTCTTACTAAGAATGCTTTGACTTTATTAGGCTGAAGATGACTAACTGCATCTCCAAATCACGGTCTTTTAAAAATTATTTTTCTGAAGATGTTCCAAAGATTAGAAACTTGATATACTCAGCATACCACAACCTCAACCCATCTACCTGATCCTTCATAGCTAGAAAGTCATACTTAATTTTATGAACAAAATAAATCACCAAAGTATAAATCAAGAAGCACAAAGTGTATGTTAAGCCTACAAGATCTTTACATTAAAACCATTTTTTGGACCTTTGGCAAGTTTTATTCTTTGTGAAGAATCATAAGTAATAGCCATCCAAGTACAGTTTATGTTTCCATGGGCGAAATCCTATCCAACAGCACACAAAACACACTCTTAGCCTTGGCAGTTCATGAGATATCAATTATGTTGCATGTATCATTTTACTCCTCTCAAATAAGCATCATTTTAGTAGTCACAGTTGCAGGAAGTGTTAGATCAAACGCTTTACTCTACATAGATTCATGTTCAGATGGTACTAGGCTCTAATGATTTGGAATTGAGGAGATTACATAGCTAACAGAATTTAAGTTTAGAAATACAGACCATTTATTTTCAAGGTACCAGATCTCTCTCCCTCTCAGCACAGAATACATATTTTGAGGATAAGTATCCTCCATTGTTGGACTGATGAGATAAATCAAGCCAATAACAAGTCATATAGAAGCAAAAAGACATTATTTATTAAAAGAAATTTAGTAAAATGTCCACAGGTAACTCAAAATCTGCTATTAACATGTATGCAGAGATTTATGTATTTTGCTCTATTTTTTGAAGAAGAAACTCCATTTGTAAATTTAGATTTGGCTGTCCTCTTTTTGTCTTCTTACTCAATATTTTATAAGCTTCCATTTTCTTTTGCTTGTACAACCGCTGAGCTGCTTCTCTTTGCTGTTTTCTTTTTTCTGCTTCCTGAAATTAAATAAATAGCTATCAACATGCAATAATTACATACCTTCTGTAACTATGAAGCTATCTATAAGCAATACGATTTATTTTTTGTAAACATACAGGCAAATATAGATATTGTACTGACACTAGAAACACTGTTACTGTTACAAGCTTAATCAGGATGCTGTTTCAGTGGAGAATGCAATCAAAACATATTATATTGCCTAAAGTTTCAAGAGAAGAACCAGGTTTTCTTTGGTAGAATATCTCAGGATAAGGTTTGTCACTAAAATAGGTACTACTTCCTTTCTGCAAAAGGAGCTCCTTGACTTTTCTCCTTAAGTGACAAAGCGGCAAAAATTTCCCACTTTCTCCTCTTGAGGGCAAGAAAGAAAGAAAAGAGTCTGGTCCAGTGGTCCCCATGTAAATGTCTTGCCAATGCAGATGTGCTAAGACACTGGACGCATCTGCATGGGACTGGCACATAGAGCTGGAAGTTGGGCAGTTTTGTGATACTAGGACAGCATCACAAGCAGCATTACCTAGTGCAGCATAACCAAGACGAAACTATTAGTGACTTGTCCTCTTCGAAGGACCACGGACTGCTGTCTTTACCGAGAGAAAAAAAAACTAAACAAAACAAAAAACTAACCACATTTAAACTGTAAAAAACTTTCTGTGCTGCGGGGACAGCACACATGCAACCAAATGACTAATGGAGGCTACACTGTATGGAAAACCATCATGATATTATGTTCAGTTTTTATCAAACAGTTTGTACCCCCCTTCTCTAGTGTTGTAAGTTTAGTAATTTGGGCAAACATCCACAAGCAACAAGCTAACTAGCTTGCTTCACTTATGTCACGCCCTACCAAAACATGCAAGACATCACAAATCAGACTGAAGGACTGCTTCAGTTCATTGGGATGATTTCCTCTCATAAAGCTTATTTGTTGAAATACAGTGCCATGTTGACCACAAAGGCAGATGTTTCTGCAAAATGCCCAGATGATAATTTATCAATTTTGTTTTTGTTTTCCATGGCACAGAGAGCTTCTGTGAAGTACAGAGATTAGCAAGAATATTCTGTGATGCAGAATATAAAATCAAACAGACATAACCCAAGAAAATATTTCTAAATATAAATCAAAGAGACTTTGGGGGGGAGGAAACCCCTGCAAAGATAATATCTCTTCATTCAGAATGCTTCACTTATTTTACTGTAACAACAATTAATATAATTCTTTCCTTTTTTTTTTTTTTCTAAACGAGTGGCATCAACTCTAACTTACCTGTAACTCGCTTCCTATCTAATAATTTTACTGCTCTTCAGCATACTGTTGTAAACAACACCCATTTAAGCTACCAACCAAATGCTTACTCAAAGCAAGAACATTCATCTTTCTTACACAGTTCTTAATTACATTCATATTTTTTCTGATCTCTGCTAAATCCTAGCTTTTTTATACAGCATGGAGGCCAAAACTGTGCCTTTAAACTTATTTATTTTCCCAAAGTAAGTAGCAGAAAATCCAGTGTTTGCTAACATACGTGAGGGTAAAGTATGTGATCATCATATTAGTATTACACATAAATGATTATTGTTATTGTGGCACTTAGCTACTGTTTGTTTTCCCTAAGTATCTTGAATAAAACCAAAAATGCCAACACCTGCCCTCAGGCAACTCTTATGTGCTGCTCAAAGAAAATTCCTTGCAGTCTTGCTCTGTTTTTGTTCATATTTCCTCTAAATAAGCTGGTTGTAACATTGATTTCTTTTAGTATGATTTGACTCTAATATGCAAAAATGAAGCTCTCAGATGAACAACCACGTAACTTGCCCAGAATCACTGATCAGCTTGCATAAAACTATTCTAGTTTTCAGTACACCTAAACTGAAGAACTAGTATGTTTTATCCAGTTACATATTTATGTAATATTTAAACATTAATTTCTGAAATCTGGTTTGTCAGAAGCAAGCTACACAACTTGTACAATGTTACAATTTTACAGTGCAATGAACAACATACTGGGAGAGGACAAAAGTAGTTGAATAAAAATGTCTCAAATGAATAACTCTACTGAATTATTCAACAATAATATTAAGATACGCTCTGAAAGAATAAGTTCCATTAAATTGGAACAAGGGAAAAAATCTGCTAAAGATTTTGGCCTCGGACACTATTGCATTTAAGTGTTTCACTGTTGGTCAAGGCACATAAAAAGGTACAACGAAGACTGCGTTATGGTAACACCGTAAGAAATAGGATGGATATTTAATTTTTCATCACAAGATGATGATGCTGTTATTACTTCCCCTTCTACAATATTTAAGAGGTCTAATATAATCCACTGGGATATGCAGATCAAGCTCTAAGTTCTTCTTAATGTGCCAAATGACATCATAAAATCCAGCTAACGGCAACTGCAAGATAAAAATAGTAAGAATAAAGAGAGTAACTTTGAACACTTGCATGCCTAAATACTACTGTCAAGTTGAAAAAGACTGAAATACCAATACCTGTGTTCCTTTCCTATGGTCCAATCTCGGTTGACTGACAGGTATTAATCTAGTCTTTGTCTACAATTGAGAAAGATCTGTTTAAGTTTTACCTCTTTCTTTCTAGCACGCTCAGCCCTTATTTTCTCATACTCTTCTGTTGCCTTCTGATTGGACGTTTTCTTCTTAAACTTCCCTTCAGTCATAACTGACCTGTAAGAAAAAGTATGTGTACTTCAGATATGGACTATCACCAAACAGATGTAACCATATATCCCACGGCCACGGCAGAATCAAAGCACCATTTCCCACTCTTCCACTGTTTTTTTTTTTTTTTTTGCATATGTGGAGAAGTAAAACGAAAGCACAGATTTCAGAAGGCTCGTCTTTCTATAATGAATGGATACCTGCTTGCACCACTCTTCCATGACACACAACACCACTACATGTAATGTAACAAGCAGCTAGCATGAGAACACAGCAAACTGAACTCATCCAACGCCGAGCCTAATGAAGACCGGACTACACACAACTTTTAGCAACACATACACCTTATCTACTGGATCTTCACAGGGATGACATTTCATCATGTTTAAAGAGTGCCTAAGAGAGGGGTGTTTTCCCATCATACAAATTCTTCAGAGCTAGAAAAAATGAATGCACTAACTTAGACCTGTATTATCTGTTTCCAGTTCTGACATATGAATGCAGCTGCAGAGATGGGAGGACAGCCAGCTGTTAGCAGACTGCCTGCCAGAGAAGCCAGGCTCACATGGCGAGGTGAAAAAGTACACTAGTAACAGTGCCTTTCTAAAAGTTTCTTCTTGAAGACTGCATATTATTGTCTTTAATATTCTGAAATTAGAATCTGAAATTATGTTCCTTACAAATTTCGGTATCAAAAACCACCCAGATATCTTTCACCAAAGAAAACAGTACAAGAAAACCAGGGCCATTTGCCTGGCATTTACTGTAACACTACTTTGAGTGGATTTTTCTGCTTATTTAGTTCTAAATTATTTCTTCTTCTGGTTCACAATAAAGCCATTACATAAACAGTGTGGCAGAAAATACATTTCACACTTGAAAAATATAAGCCTTGCTAGATATTTAACAACTGATCACAACGTAAGTTTTTTGATTACTGTATTACTGACACTACAAAAAGTTGAAAACTAGCCATCATCATCTAGGAGATTTCAGACAGATGATCAAAAAGGAAAGAGAAAGTATTTGCTCATACCTTCATTTAAAAATACGACTTTCTCCTGGAGGAAAAAAATCTCTGCTTTATTCTCATCTCCATCTCGTGGCAATACTGTGTAATGACATCTCACTATCTCAAGTACAAAACTACTTAAATTGCAATATATGCTAAAAATAATTACCTAATCGAAGTCTTATTTTACATTCCCATAGAACACTGAAGTCTATCTAATAGACTCTACGCAGCACACCACCTCACATATTAGCAGTCACATTTTTGCAGAATTATTAATTCTGGTTTACAATCACAATGACCATCATTTAAGCAAAATTAAACCACCCTCTGGTTCAAAGAAAACATCAGTCCTATTTCAGGCATTCCCACAAATTACCTGACTATTCCAGACAAAACTCTACCTTTCCCCCACTGCTGGTCTTAGATCTGACTGCCTTTCTCCCTCTCTCCTGAGCATTCTTCCCAGGAAAGTTTAGATGCAGATGCACCTTGGAATTCAATGACTTATGACACATCTTGTCCTGAGTACAAAAGGGCCTTTTCTCAATCACTGTACTTGAATGTTGTTTAAAAACATTGCCATGACAGTGTTAGGTCTGAGTGACTACGCTTTTCATTTTACTGACATACCTACTCAAGATTTCAGGGGGAGTTACTGTCACACAGGGAAAAAAAAAGGTTTAAGTTGTCTGACATTTGTTAGCCCGCAAGTGAGAAACCCCATTTGACTTCTCCCAGTTATTACAAGTAAATTTAAAACAAAACAAAAAAATAAAACCCCCAACCACCACTAGCAAACGACTATGACATCTCCATTATTTAAAATTATTACTTTGATCAAGAACACTTTAATGCCTTAAGATTTTACTAAGTCCTCCATTTCATTTTTTTTTTAAAGTTTACAGTTAAAATCTCCCCCAAAACTAGCCATACCACAAAAGGACAGCTCATTCTAGCAGAAAAACAGTGCAATATGAAGAAGACAACTTATCAAATTGGGAACAGAAGCATAATGCAAAAAAATATTTCTAAAAAGTGACACTAATTTAAAAATACTGAGAATCAATTCAAAGGAAAACTCTCTAGATTCAAAAGCACACTACCTGAAAAGCAGGCTCTTATCTTTGTAGATACCGTAAGAAATTGGACAAACACTTAGTGCTTTTGGGCTGAACCTTATCCTTAAAATTCAGTGGTAACTGTCATGCTATTTCTGTGGAATCAAGCCCTAAACTTGATCCGTTTTGCTTTCTGATTCTGATGCAAACACAAGAAAGCTGCATGTTTAAGTTTTCTAACAATTAGGAAAAACATTTAACACCTAATGGCATTTTTTTTTAGTAAAGCAAATCACCATACCAAAGTCCATGTAAAGTGTAAGATCTAAAACATTTCTTCAATGATGGAAACAATTACTTGTTTTAAAAGGCATATTTCATAAACTTACTCTACTGCTTTATTAAGTTTTTCTTCTGATAAAACTGAATCATTTGGAGTCCTGCGCTGTTTCTTAAGCATTTCTTCCTCAGCTAGATAAAGATGTTTCAAGTGCTCTGGATAAGTATCAGTAAACTGATCATCCTGTTGTGAAGAGACCTTTCTTCCCTTTTTTAATAATTTCCTGTACTGTCTTTTGATCTTTTGTTTTCTCCGAAATGCAAATCCTCGTCCTGAAAACAGAAGAAAAAGGGAGTTAAATGCACCTGCACTGAAGTAGTATCACACTATTCAACTGTTGCCAGGACCATTTCAATCTATTTTCTTTTCAAAATAGAAAAAGCCACTACGTGTGCTAATTTTAATAGGGACGAGTCAAAAATTCAAGGAAAAGACACTGTTATAAATCTGTTCCCTACTGTAGCACTGCAGCTTGTACAGATTTACTGAAAACTATGGCCTAAACCCTTGAGAGAAGATGCCACTGCAAATGTATTACTTAACGCACATTCGAACATCATATACCTTTGATAATGCTTTTCGAATCCAGTGAAAAAATGTATTAACATTTCACTTCTCTCCTACTTTTGACAGCTTCAAAAGCAACCTTAAAATAGATTCCTAAAGACAGTCTCAAGAAGACACTGATAACAAGAATACCAGCTGCTTAAATAGTCTGCAGCTGCAAGGACACAGGAAAAAAAAAAGCGTCACTAAATCACTGTATTATACTACATTAATATTCCATTATATCTTGTCACACAAATAGTATTTTTATTATTACCTTCTTTCTACAACTGTTCAGGAAGAGCTTTTCTACAACTTCAAAACTATGCTACGTCATAGAATGACTGAGCCTTAAAAGGAAACATCAGATCATGGGTTTTTTTCAGTCACAATCATTATATAACCACTTAAGTTAAACAAGATTTTTTTCCTAATATGTTACTGTTATTTTTTATTGCATTACTCTTATGGACCTAACAAGTTTTATATTATTCATTAACGACAATTATTTTTAAGAGGCAACAAGTCCAAATCAGTCCCAACTTTTCCTTTCTTTCTCCAAAGTTAACATTTCTGAAAAGTGATGCAAAAGCCGATGCTCTTTTTTTCCTGTCAGTTCGTTTTTATATTTGCATAATCACCTGTCAATATCCTGAACCCGTTTTGCAATACGCTTCTATTTTAAATACACAGCTTCACAGGACGCTAAAAGCGAGCCCTAAAACCGAGAGGCATCGCTACCCGGCCCGAGCGGGCCGCCCAAGGGCGCCGGGCTCGGCGGCCCCGAGCTCCGGGAGCTCCAGCTCCCCCCGGGGCCGCCCCACCACCCGCACCCCGCGCTCGGCCACCCCGCGGGCAGCGGGCGAGGACGGGTCTCCGGGCTGCGCCACGCGAAGCCCATGGCTGAGCCCGGCAGCTCGGAGGCACGGCGGGAAGCCGAGGGCGGCCACCACCGGGGCCGGGCCGGGCCGGGCCGGGCCGGGCCTCCCTCGGCGCCATCTCTCCCACCATGACACCCCGGGCCCGCCGCGGCTGTCCCCTCCTCTCTCCCCCCCCCCCCCACCCCCCCACTCACCCTCCTGGACGCTGCCCACAACGTCGCGCAGCAACGCGGGCCTCCACAGCCGCTTTCGGCGGGGACCGCGACCCACGGCGCCCGCTCTCTCCGCCGCCGCCATCGCTCCCCCCGGCGTCGCCGCAGCGAGACGACGTCACTGATCCGCGGCGCTGCCGCCGTCGCTCGGTACTCGATTCACCCGCCTGCGGGCGGCCCGGCCGGCAGCCCCCGACGGGCCGAGCGCAGCCCCTCCCCGCCGCCGTCGCTTGGCGCTCGATTCACGCGCCTGCGGGCGGCCCGGCCGGTAGCCTCCAACAGGCCGCGCACAGCCCCTCCTTGCCGGCCCCCGGCGCCATGTCGCGACCGCCTGGCACACTCGCGCTGCCGCCCCAGCCCCCACCAGCGGCGGCGCTGCGGCGGGTGGCGCGGTTCCTGACGCGCGCGCTACCGCTGTGCCGCGCGCATACGGTGGACTTCTACACGCGCGGACTCTGGGAGCGGCTGGTGGCGGCGCGCCCCGCCCACGTGCTGGAGGCGCTGCGGCGCCCCCTGGGGGAGACCTCCGGCGCCGCCGCGGCGCTGCGGGGTGAGTCGGGGTGGGCGAGGGGGGACCGCGGGCCCCCGGGGGTGTGGAAGTGTGGGGGGTGTGTTCTGCTTTGGGGGCCCAGTGCCCGGTACTGGCGTTCACGGGGCCAGTGCTCGGGGGGGCGTGACGGCCCGCCCCTCCTGTTGTGCGTGGGCTGCGTGGGCCGCCCGCGGGTCGCTTAGCGGGCCTCCCCGTCCAGCCGCCTCGTGTTCGGCGGGTGCCGCCGTTTCTTTTATCCCTCTTCAGACCTCGTTGTCCCCCGATCCGTATTTAAAATTATTTTCCTTGCTTTAATAGAAGAGGAGCATTCCACACCACTCCGATGAGCTGCTTTTTTTTTTTTTTTTTTTTTTCCTTTTCCTACGCTTTCACCCGCTGCCTTCCTGCGGCCGTCCCCATATTGTTGCTCCATTACTCTGCCCAAAGCTGAAGCCGTTTCTGCTTTTTCATGCCTATGTGTGCACCAGCAGCCCACGTCTTTTCCAGGCTAATCGGGTGTATTCGGAGCTGTCACGGCTTGGGCAAAGTACAGCCGCGGTGGGAGGAACTGCGCTTCAGGAGGGGCTCTCAGTAGTGGAGGTTGTGATGATGGTCTCATGTTAGAAATTTCATCTTGTTTAGCAATGAAATTAAACTCCTGAATGTCAGACTCCTTCGCTCTGACTAATTTCTGAGGAACAGAAGTAAAATGAACCAAAAAAGACCCCTCCATGTGAGTAGAAAGATGTAACAGTTAATAGTCCTCCAAATGTCCAGACTTGGGAAATGTGGAGGACAGCTGGAAAAGGCTTAAACACCACTTTCCTGTATATCTGTAATAATGAGCGTCTGGCAAAGGAAGACAGAAAACAGGGTTATTTCTGACAAGACCTATTTAAGAAGCACTTCATATTTTTAGTAATTTTCAAGTAACTCGAGGCCAGATATGTAACTGTATCACTGAATTTACTGCAATCCAAGTAGAAGGGAAATATACCAGTAATACGCTCTAAGGCAGAGCACAGAAATGAAGATAAAGCATCTGAAAACTATGGTATTTGCAGGGACTGAGCCCAAGCAAAGAGATCAGTTTCAAAACTAAGGTGAAATCTATGACAAAGCACTTGGCTGGGAAAACCCTGCATCATGCCAAAGCTTGTGAAGTGTAGATAGCTCTTGCATAGCGTTAGCTCTGAAATGTGACGTTAAATGACACGTGAGACAAGAAAGCACATTAAGTCTAACAGAAGGGTCCACAGAAAGTAGCATGTGGAGCTGCGTACTTTTTGGCATAGAAGATGAGCTAAGATAGCGATTTGGATTTGGGTTTGGAAAGCGATTGAAGAACTGTGAATTGCTACATCACTTGTCACATTTCTCGCTTGGATCTAGAGACCTTCAAAATATTAACTGTAAGACTAATTTTTAAAGGGTTGAAGTATCTGGGAAAAAAAACTCACAGAGTTTATTTGTGCATGGAAATGACACTGGATTATGGATTAACTTCAAGAGCCAGATGGAAAGAAGACAGTGGTCCAGTCAGCAAGCAAAAGTGTTGGGAAGCAGCGAGGAAAAACTTACAATGTTTTTGACAGGTGATGTCAGACACAGAACTGATTCAGAGCAGAGACATAAAATTAAATGTAAATAGGGGCTGGAACAAAACTAATTATTAGATGAAGTCATCAAAAAGAAAACACTAAAGGAAAATTACACTGATCTTACTTGTTTCTATGGCAAAGCCCATGAAATGATTCAGATGCTGAAGTGGTGTCTGTAGAAAGAGAATCAGGAAGGCAGAGTATTGTTTTGTAGATTTTTAAATCGGAAAATCATTTAATGATCTGTGTTCAAAATGCATGTTACAGAATTGGATACAGAAGTTACTGGAACAAAAGACACAATTTATGGCTAAAATGAAGCATGTGTTTTAGAAGGGTATGAAGCCTTCATGCTGTGGCTAAAATACAACATTCCTTCTTTGGTTTCTGCAGGGATTATTTCTGCTCATTAAAAAAATAAGAGAATTGTTCATTTTTTCTAGCCTCAAAATTATAGTACACTATTTAACATTTGGAAGGTTTTGAGATGCTCAAAATTTCTCCAGTATTGTGACAAAATTGAAGGTACTGTAGTGGAATGGGCATGTGCTTGCTGACTTGGTTCATGCCTGAGTCATTCGACTGCACAGTATCCATCCAGTCATATGATGAAAATACATCATAGTAGAATATGAGTTTATCAATGACAATACTTGCAAATGTCTACCTATATTCACAAATGAACACACTGTTAGCCTGTATTAAAATTAGGATTGAGAAGCTTAAAATCGTAGTTTAACTGAGTGCATCAGTACCACTTAATAATATTAGAGATCAGAAACCATCCATTAGAGATCTTGAAACCTAATAAAAACAGAAATTACTCATTCTTATATTTCTCTAAAATATTACTGTATGTGTGGTTGTTCTTTATCAGATAATTGAATGTTACTTATTTATATTTACCTTGAAATGGGTACTGAAAGGCTCTCATACTATCATTCATAGAACTGCCTTTTTTTTGGAGCGTGGCTACGAGAATAGATTTATTTTGCATGCTCAAATGACATTGTGGTTGTGTACCCCAAATACCTTACACAAAATATGTGTAAAATAACATTTTGATTTCACATGGTAAAATCTTTGCTTCCTAAGAGTTTGAGAAATTTTATTTATATATTCATCATCCCCAAACTATTATGAAAAGTTTTCTAGAGTTGTTCCAATAGAAATCCCAAATTAAATTAAAAGGAAACATAAGTTACATTTGACAGAATTGGTATGAAAATGTGAAGTTGCCAGTTCACACTCACATAGCTCTGCAAACTAAAAAGTAACATTATTGCAGATGGGCACAAAACTGTTATGCTGCACAATATTTTATGTTACTATAGGGATTCTGACAAATACATGTACTGAATTGTAGTTTTAGAAGCTAACAAGCAAGAAATTACAATTCTGTTGTACAGTATTACATGCAAGATGATAATCATGTTACAGAACATTACATTACATGTTCTGTAAATCAGGTTCAAAGAATATTTTCAGGTACTTGTCAGATGATACTTCATTATAATGACCATATAAAGGGTGGAACCCTTGTTTTCAGTTGTACCCTACAGAAAAGTTTCAGATCCATTTTTAGGTATAGAAAAATGTTTTGGTTTGGTTTGGGTTTTTTTTAATACATCAAAAAGCTGACACTTGCCACACTGCATCTTGTTTAGCACGTCATTGCTGTAAATTGGACACAGGCACAGAAAAATCTGTATTTAAGTTTTTTCATATTGTACTGTAAATTACTGTTTGTAATATAATTCCAATTTTTTGGCATATGTTTCTTTCCCTTGAAGATTTGCTTGCAAGTGTATGGACTGAATGGTTAAGACGTTGGAGGTTTCATCTTGTGAGCAACCCAAGTAGAAACATCTTGAGAAAACTTTTTAATATTCACAAATAATACGTAGTCAGACAACTGCCACACCATAGTTTGAAGTCATGCTTCAGACACCTTAATGTCATTTATTTTTTTCTTTTAGTTGGCAAGCTGGGGCAACAATTTAAATTTGGTAGGAACATTATTACAGACAATATCCTAGGACAATATCCTAGTGATCTTGTATGCGATCGTACTACTGTTCGTGTTCTTCCATCAGATAACTGAATTCAGGGTTGTTACAGAATATGGGCATTACTGTGTTTAATTTCAGTTGTGAGATTTATATGGAGCATTAGTATCTTTTACTGCGTCAGGTGCTGAAAAAAAATGAAAGCAGGCAAGCTTTGGGTTTATAAGCTTTTCATGAGTACTGACAAAGAAGCAGAAACTGCAAATTTCAATAATCAGTCTGTAACCTGGAAAAGTTACAAAGTTTCAAGATAAGTTGTAGTCGTGCCATGCAGTGGGATAAGCAGTAAGTAAGGAGGTGAAAGGGGGATTGGGTGGCTAAATACTGTAAACTCAATAAATGTATTCTTTTACACCATAAAACCAATTTACTCAGTACACAGTACCAGGAGAGTTCTGAATATTAGTGTTCATGTTTATATACTGAAGAAATGTAATTGGCTCACTTTAAATGCAAAACTGAGAGGCTCTATGAAATAATTTACCTCACTGACGCTGATTTTTCTCAATTGATGATGTATGCTCATTCTGATGCTTTGTGACAGTTGTTTTCACTTACATAATTTCCATGAGAGAAATTTGAGGAGTCAGAAAAAACAGTTTGAGGTTTAGGATGAGTGTGAGAGGGTCCACAGATTTTCATGCTCCTGTTAGTATGGGGAGGGTCTGGTTGTGTGGGCTGCAGAGATGTTTTACTTCTTAGCATGGCAGGACTTGATTTCACTTGGTATTTGTTAATTTGCAGAATGTTTGCTGATGCTGTTGATCTTGGTGAGATACATGCAAGTTTGATGGGAAAAATAAGGAAAAATTTCTTCAAGTGTATAGGTTTGATGATTTTTCATACCAGTGTCAGGGTAGTGTGGTGTAGGATGCGCATGTGCATGGTTGATGATAGTTTTATTTTTGTACTATAGCAAGTTTGTATCTGTAATTCACCTGATGTTTATTTCCACGGTGACTGTTGGGTAGAAGTTGTCAATGAGGTATATTAATATGTATTCCT